GCATCTTCATGACTTCCAGCCCAATCACTATCAGAAAAACAGTGCAGAATTCCATGTTTATGCTTCTCAAACCATAAACCATAATCTGAAGTGCCATTGAGATATCTCAGCACCCTTTTTGCAACACCAAAATGAGTTGACTAGGAGAATGCATGAACCTAGATAATAAGCTTGCTGCATACATGAGATCTGGTCTGGTTGTAGTAAGATACAAGAGACTCTCAACCACACTTCTGTAAATAGAAGCATCTGTCTTGTCATAACCATCTTCAACAATTAATTTTGAATTTTGAACTAAAGGAATAGGCACAACTTGCATTGATCCATACTGAATTTCTTCAAGACATCAAGAGCATATTTATGTTGAGAAACAAATATACCAGATTCACATTGATGAATTTCCATGCCTAAAAAATAACTCATCTCCCCTAGATCAGACATTTCAAATTCTTTCATCAAATTAGCTTTAAAACTGAGTAATAATTGTGAATTGCTACCGGTAATCAATAGATCATCAACATACAAAGAAACTAGCAATTCAGCATCACAAACAAAAGGATTTGAACCAGAATTTTCAACTGAAAAAGTTGTATCTTTGGAAGACTGACCTGAGTTGCGTTTAACATACAAGGTTAGCTCATTTTCACTCCTTTGAAAACCTTGTTGAAGGAGAAATGAATCAATCCTGCTGTACTAGGATCTAGGTGCCTACTTGAGCCCGTACAAAGCTTTTTTAAGCTTGTAAACCTTGTCTTTATGACCAAAAATAATAAAGCCCTCAAGTTGTTGCATATAAATGTCTTCCTGCAAATGGCCATTCAAGAAAGTTGATTTGACATCCATATGGTAAATTGTCCAGCCAAAATTAGCAGATAAAGCAATCAACATTCTGACTGTATCATGCCGAGCAACTGGTGCAAAAGTGTCACCATAATCAATTCCAGCTTGCTGAGCATATCCTTTCACTACCAATCTGGCGTTGTGCTTGTGAATGGAGCCATCAGGATTCATCTTGGTTCTAAACACCCATTTGACTCCAATTGCATTCTTTTCCGGTGGTAGGGAAGTTAATTCCCAAGTTTCTTTTTTTGTAATCATCTGCATCTCCTCCTGCATTGCATGCCTCCATATGTCATGCTTGGAAGCTTCTGCATACGTGTTGGGTTCTAAAACAGCCAGGTTGCATCTTTCATAAATTTCAGAGAAGGTTTAGTTTTCATAACAGGGGAATCATGGTGAGCATCAACATCAGCTACATTAGAAGCTGAAATTTCCTCTTTGGAAGCTTCTACATCATCCTTAACAGAGGCTATATCACCATTTTTCACAACAACTCTCTTGTCCCAATCCCAATGAGAATCTTCATCAACTTGTACATCCCTATGAATTGAAATTTTTCCAGATTGCAAGTTGTATACCCTGTAGCCTTTTGATTTTGTAGAGTAACCCACCAGAATACCAATTTCAGCTTTAACATCAAGCTCGGTTCTCTTTGCATCAGGCACATGAGTATAGCAAATAGAGCCAAAATTTTTCAAATGATGTGCAGAAGGCTTAACACCAAACCAAGCCTCAATAGGTGTCTTTCCTTGCACAGCCTTAGTAGGCAAACCATTCAACAAATATATAGCTATATAAACAGCCTCTGCCCAAAAATTCTTAGGCAGCTTCTTTTCATGCAACATACATCGAGCCATCTCTATAGTTGTTCTGCTCTTCCTCTCAGAAACTCCATTTTGTTGAGGAGTATAAGGGACAGTTAACTGATGTGCTATCCCTGCATCTTCACAAAAGCTGTCAAACTTCTTTGAAGTGTATTCTTTTCCATTGTCAGATCTCAAGGTTTTGATTTTGTAGCCACTTTGGTTCTCAACAAGTACCTTGAACTTTTTAAACACAGAGAAAACTTGTGCCTTGCTGCTCATAAAATACACCCACGTCATTCTGG